AAGGCAAACAAACATGAGCCCTAAAAATAACAAACATTACGATGTCCCTGTGTAGCCGACGGAAACACAAAAAAACTGACTTGGGATGGAAGGAGGAGTCTATTTATTTAATGTGGTTGATGTGTTTCCTGTTGCAGGCAGGCGGAGCCTATATCTCGATGGCTGTCCTGGAAGATGACTGGGGAAAATGGTGCATGCCCTATTCTTTCTGCTCTGGAACGCACTGGATCACACCTGAAAGCCCATTTTAAACTAAAAAAAAAAAAACCACACAAAAAAAAAAACCACACGCATCAAAACCACGTCAAATCCCACTGCACTGCATATGCACAAACACATCCAGATCTTGTGTGAACAAGCCCTAAGATTTAACTCCGGAGTTTAGTGTCACTTTAAAGCAATCAAGGAAGCATTCATGCTTTGAAATTGTGAACTGCGTGTGTGTAACAACCTTCTGTACTGATGGTTCCGATGTACAGTTATAAGAAGCACCAAGTATTTATTGTAATGGTTTATTGTTGTTTTATAAATTCCGGGCTCTACATGTAAAATTCTATTAAAAAAGCAAAACAAAGAAGTAGGGATGCAGCGATACCTGTATTTTGGTACCGAGTACCGATAATTTTTTTTAGGTACTCGCCGATACCAATTACCGAGTAACGGAAGTCCCATTCAGGAAACCAGGTGGCGTGTAATGACTCGCCACCTGGCTTCCTGATTAGCCGGGAAGCCGGGCAGCGTGTAAAGAGTCGCCACCCGGCTTCCCGATTAACAAGAAAGTTCCCTCTTACCTTAGTATGTGCAGCCTGTCATCCCCCGGGGCCTCTCCAGCGAGAACGTGGCCTTCGTCCGGTACCCAGCCGGAGCTGTCTAGCCGTCCAATCAGGAAGTCGGGCGCCATGTAATGACGCGTGACGCCCTGCTTTCTGATTGGCCGGGAGGCCGGCTCCATGCTCTCTTGTCATGAGATGACGAGGGAGCATGAAGCCAGCTTCCCGGCCGATCAGAAAGCAGGGAGTTGCGTCATTAGACGGCTGGGTACCGAACGAAGGCCGCATTCGCGCTGGAGAGGCCCCTGGGGATGACAGGCTGCACATACTAAGGTAAGGTAACCTTACCTCACGAGGCCAGCTTCCGGTCAATCGCGAAACCGGGCAGCGTGTAATGACGTGCTGCACGATACCGGAAGTACTCGTGCTAGGCATCGGAGCATTTGGGCGAGTACTTGCCCAAATACTCGAAATCGGCACCGATATCGATACTAGTATCGGTGCATCCCTACAAAGCACCATTGGTGTTCTTGGCCCAGGTGGGGAGGGGTCTGTATTTACTTCCCAGCTTCTCTGGCCCACAACTCCACGTCCATAAAAAGAAATAATACAAATGATAATAATAATAATAAAAAGAAGCCTACAACTCAGACGACTTTGTAAAGTGAGGTGAGGAAGCAGCAGACACAATACACACAACCAATGTAAGAAAAGCAAGTGCGAGCCTTCCTTCCTCTGGAACACAACATTTACTGCAAGGGCCCATTTAGACCATGTGCGTAGATGAGCGTTGTTTATAGGCAGGTGTGTTGTCATGCGTCAATGTGCACTTTCTTTGATGTGTTGACGAAGGATGATCCTCATTTTCAAAGTTTTTGAATTTAGTGGCCAGACATAATGGCCATTATTATGAGGGATGCACAGATACTGATACTATTATCGGTATCGATGCAGAGTATTTGGGCGAGTAGTCGTACTCGCCCAAATTCTCAAATGCCTAAGCTTCCGGTCACCTGGAGGCTGGCTTTCTGGCCAATCAGAAAGCCGGGGGGTGGGTAATGACTCGCTGTCCAGCTTCCTGATTGGTCAGGAAGCTGGCCAATCAGGAAGGTAGTCAGTGAGTCATTACAAGTGATGAGGGAGCATGGTGCTGGCTTCACGGCCAGTTAGGAAGTCGGGCAGCGTGTAATGACTCGTTGCCTGGCTTCCTGATTGGCCAGCTTATCGACCAATCAGGAAGCCAGGCAACCACTCATTACACGGCGCCCGGCTTCCTAATTGGCCAGAAAGCCGACTCGCTGCTTTCTCATCACCTGGTGATGAGGGAGCATGGAGACGGCTTCCCTGCTAATCAGGAAGCCAGGTGGCAAGTCATTACACGCCACCTGGCTTTCTTAATGGGACTTCCGGTATCGGTATACAGTATTGGCGGTTAACGGGAAAAAATATTGGTACTCGTACTGTACTTGGTACCGATGTATCCCTACTTATTGTTATTATACAGGATCTATATAGCGCCAACAATTTTCTCAGTGCTGTGCAAAATATAGGAAGACTGTACAATTACAATACAAGAGGCTCAGGAGGACCATGCTCATAAGAGCTTACAATCTAGCCATTGTTACCAACGCATCAAAGCCTATAAGAATGGTTCTACGCTTCCATTGACTTCTATGGGGCTCACAATGCAGGAAAACGCAGAAATAAAATGTCAGCCGCCTGTGACAGTTTGCAATAGGATGCACCGCTACATCGGCAAGAAAATGGCACTTTTGGCATTTTGCCACTGGTGAGATTTCCCATCATTTCCTGTCTCTCACCCACAACAGGAAGTGAGAGGAAATCCTTGGAAAGTGAGAAGAATCCCCGGTGGTCAGCAAAACTATTTCTGTTCTGGTGACAACCCAAAATGTGGGATTTTCTCTCACAGACAGTAAAAAAAACTGAAAAGGGGGTCTAATTCCTCTCCAAAAACGGCAAAAGTCCTGGCTTCAGCTCCACTTTCATGAACATATAAAGGTTCCATGTTCTGGTTGAGGTAATAAAGTCATAGACTTGGGTAGAAGGTGTAATAAAATGTGTGATGGAACCTTGTTTGGGGGAAATATTTGGGATTTGCACTCCATGCTGTGAAGTCAAAGTCGGGTACACGGCCATGGTCGGCATCCTATTTGCCTCCAGCTTGCTGTCTCCTCTCTGACCAGCCTGCTGCGCCTTCGCACTCCGCCCGCAGCCCACAAATGGCGCTGTGCCGGGGCAGGACAGCACATGCTCCCCCGGCCTGCGCGCCTCCAGCACACAGGCAGCCTCGTCCGACCTACCATTACCCAGCATTCACCGCAGCGAGTTCACGCGAGCTCCCCGATAGCAGCAGCCCCGGCACGGCTTGCCGTCGCTTTTTTTGCTAAGGTGCCCGAGCCCGGTCCTCTGCCGAGCCCCGCACACGGTGAGTTGGCTTTTCTTTTCCTAAGCTCGCCGTTACGGGAGCGGAGAAGGTGGGGGTTGGAGGGGGTACTTTCCTGCAGGCCTTCTGCGGGCTGGTACACATCGTACTGGGGGGGGAGGAGGGGGTCAGGAGCACAGGTTTGCCGACCATCGCCGTGTCGGCCGCCATCTTGGCAGAGCCGTGCGTGTTGTTGCTACTTGTCTAAACAAACAGGCGGCGAAGTGCTGCTGGTGGCAAGGCGAGGGGGGTGTGCGGGGAAAAGATTATTAAGCGTCACACGGACGAATTTCCTGTAATTAAGTTCACGTGCGCGAGTGTGGCGGCTTTGCCCTCGCCGGAGCCCGGGTGGCGCTGCCATACAAAAGGAGGACGAGTGATGAGGAGGATTCCATCCTCCCCTCCCATATGTGTCTGCTACCTGGCCTTCGCCGCCACATATCCATCATCACCACTACTACTGTACATCATAACCCTCCAATCTCAGCGCACACACACCCACGGAGCGCCTTCATAGGCAGGAGCGGAGCACATCACAAGAAAGAACAATGCCACACAGCTTATGAACAGGCATTGTGTTCTCTCCTGATCTATACAAACATTAAAAACATAGCAATATTGCCTGATCAGTGTCTACACAACACTTACAGAGGAGTGAAACTTGCTTTCACATTGTGTATGGCTCCTTAATAAAAAAAAAAATGAAAAAAAAAACCTCTGCTGACTCCTGGATTGGTGCAGTGGGAAAGTAATACATATCCATTGGGTACAAAGCATCAAACGGGCTGCAAACGCTATTATGAAGAAATCATATCTAAGGAAAGGATGCTGCGCAGCCAAATGGCACATCCATCCAAAAGGCACACAATGGATTTGTTTTTTTGTTGCAGTGCAAACAGACACACAGGTAAGTATGCAGAAAACCAATTTCAGCCATCTCCGCCCTTCATCAGGTTCACAGGGCAGACTTGTATATATTGATCACAGGGCAGGGCTGAATCTTCTATATTGTTGCAGCCTTATATCGCAACAACGTGGAATAAACAAAAGATTGAGTGCTGCAACATTGTGGTTTAGTTAGATGCATATTGGGCATTAAACGCTGATTCCTGTGGATGACAGCAACATTGAGGACATATGAGGTGCGCTAATATATTTTATCCAACAAGTTGGCCATGTGTGATATATTTAAAGTCCCGCTGTGCTAATGCATCACCTGTGCACTCACTTAAAGGAGAACTATGGGGTCAGTGTTTTTCCCCATAGTTCTCCTTAGGGTAACAGGAGGACACAAACTAGCGTCCTCCCGTTACCCTAAGCTCAGTATACCGCGAGCTACAGCTCACGGTATACTGAGACGCCGGAGCGGATCCCGACTTAGACGTCGGGATCCCCCCAGCTGCGTGAGTGACAGCTGGCTCTGCCTATCTAGAGGCAGAGCCAGCTGTACCCGCCCCCTCCCTGTCGGTTCCGCCAGTCAGCGCTGGCGGATCGGAGAGGGGAATCCAGCCCCTCCCCCTGTCACGGCAGAGAGCCGTGACAGGATCGAGAGGTGAGCGAACCCGGTATGTGTTCGCTCACCTCCCGATCTACTGAGCCGACCTGTGACAGTCTCATTGTCACAGGTCGGCTAGAACTATGAGGTGAGTGGAAATCACTCATCTCATAGTTCTCCTTTAACCCCTTTAAAGGATAGGTTCACCTTTTGCAACATGTAAATACATGCATAATTAATCATATGTAAAAAATATGCATTTCTTTAATTAGAGCTGCAGCTAACGATTATTTTCAAAACCGATTAGTTAGCCGATTATTAACTTCGGTTAATCGGATAAAAAATAAAATACATTTTAAAAAATGGCTTCAGTGATGGACTACTAGTTTGTATTGAGTGTAGTCCATCACAGGAGCAAGCTTGGAGTGGTGGAAATAAAGAAGAAAACAAAAGTGTGGTGTGCAATATAGTGAAATGAAAAGTGTAAAATTATACAGCAATTAATGCAGAATGGCAAAAAACTACACATTATACAACCTAGGTTGTGCAGAGCACAATGTACCATCAGCTATAGATGAATACAAATCCCAGCAATACATTATAGAGCACCATGTGTGGGAAAGTGTAGGCTTACCTGTCTATCGGCGGCTGTCATCCCCCCACACCTGCTTTTCCTTACTACTTCTCCCCACTTCCCTGTGCCGATCGTGGATGTGGGTGGGCGGGGAAGAGATGCGGCGTGTGGAGCGTGGATGCGGGCGGGTCTGGCAGTGGCGAACGTGAGGTGGGGAGAAGGTGCGGCGCGCAGCGTGTGTGGAGCCGTAAACGGGGCCAACCAATCAATGATTGAAAAAGTTGACAACTTTTTCAATCATCGATTATAATCGATTATGTCGATTAGTTGTTGCAGCCCTATCTTTAATATTATCCTGGAAAGCATTGCAATTGGGATCACTCGATCACAGCTACAAAGCTCAAACTTCTGCACATTCTCTCCCAGGCAGAGCTGGTACGGCGGTACAGAGTTTGTTAGGCAAGAGGGGAAGGAGGGCTGGACTTCAAACTGCATTCAATCACCTCATACAGCGTCCTCGCTCTAGGTAGAGCTGCCCATATTCCTGCATCTACTGGTCTGGCGCCCTGCATTCAGGGTTGGGGGGGGGGGGTGTGGCGGTGCATTTAAAGGAGAACTATGAGGTGAGTGCTTTTCACTCACCTCAGAGTTCTAGCCAACCTGTGACAATGAGACTCACAGGTCGGCTCAGTAAATCGGGAAGTGAGCGAATACATACCGGCGTTAGCTCACCTCTCGATCCTGTCACGGCTCTCTGCCGTGACAGGGGAGGGGCTGGATTCCCCGCTCCGATCCGCCAGCGCTGACTGGCGGATCGAACGGGGGAGAGGGCGGTTACAGTTGGCTCTGCTTCTAGATAGGCAGAGCCAGCTGTCACTTACGCAGCTGGGTGGATCCAGACATAATTGTCGGGATCCGCTTCAGCTGCGGCGTCTCAGTATACCGCGAGCAGCAGCTTGCGGTGTACTGTGGCGTCTCAGTATAGCTGAACACATACCGGGTTCGCTCACCTCTCGACCCTGTCACGGTTCTCTGCCGTGACAGGGGAGGGGCTGAATTCCCCGCTCCGATCTGCCAGCGCTGACTGGCCGGACGGGGGAGGGGGCGGGTACAGCTGGCTCTGCCTCTAGATAGGCAGAGCCAGCTGTCACTTACGCAGCTGGGTGGATCCAGACATAATTGTCGGGATCCGCTTCAGCTGCGGCGTCTCAGTATACCGCGAGCTATACTGAGCTTAGGGTAACGGGAGGACGCTAGTTTGTGTCCTCCCGTTACCCTAAGTAGAACTATGGGGAAAAACACTGACCCCATAGTTCTCCTTTAAGTCAATGGCACCACAGCCATGCCCCTCGCCCGCAGTGCGATCGCCAGCACCCGGAACGCAGGCACATTATTGTTTGCGTTCCGGTCCAGTAGCGATCTGTAAAAATAGTGCTTGCAAAGCACTGGCACGCCCCCTCCCACCCCTGAACACAGGGAGCTGGCCGGCTTGCGTTCCAGAGGCCGAACGCTCTGGAATGCAGACTTTGTGGTGTGAACCGGCCCTGAATGCAGTTTGAAGTCCAGCTGTCCTTCTCCCCCCCATCCCTCCTAACTGAAACTCTGTACCTCAGTACAGAACTCTGCCTGGGAGAGAATGTGCAGAAGTTTGAGCTTTGCAGCTATGATCGAGAGAGGTTTAGTTTGCTGCAACAGGGAAAAGCACTTCTTCCTGATCCATCAAAGCAATCTGATACTCTGGATCAACAATCAATACGTCTTATAGATATTAATAGTTATGGTTTGATCATTTACTTTGACACATTTGGTCCTTTGTTTAATAATCTACAGAGTTTGCTAGAACTAGCTCCTCTGGAAGTCTGTTCCACACTTTCTCAGTTCTTGCTGGAAAGAAGCCTTCCTGTAGGCGGAGGTTTTAAACCTTTTTCCTCCAGGTGCAAATTTTGGTTTTCAATTTTATTCCTATAATGACTTGTTTGTTTTTAAGCACACTGGTGGGCTCTGACATTAGGATGCTTCTACTGATACTTGTGCTGGGTTATCTTTCAGACCTCCCAGGGACCATAAAAACCTGCATCACTTTATTAAGCTGACCAGAACTGTTGTGGCTGTGCCATGGCTCACCCCTTCCTACTCCCCATGTTAACCTGGAGGGGTGATGGTTGACTTTGAATGCCAATAAGGAGGCAAGATCAGCAGGAAGGTCTCAATGACATCAGGAGATCTCTGATCACAATAAACCTTCCATGGGAGAAATATGTATCCTGCCATTGCTGCTATTTCTTTCTGAATATTCGCTGGCTGGCTGTCATGCTGATCCAGTAGCTTCAATAGTTTGTTACTGACCTTGAAGAGGATTGCAGATCAGGAGTTTTAACTGTATTGTAGCTTTACTTGCAAACGTGTTCTAGGTCAGTGACTTAGAAAGTGCTGAAGCCACTATTATTTTTAGAACTTTGGCAACAGCAGCCTCAGTAATTCTGCACAGGATTTATTATTGTGATCCTACATGATGTATAACATTTAAACAAATTAAATATGGAGCAAACAATCAGTGAATGTTAGATGCAACATGTTAGAGTCAGGTCACAAGTAGCAGCTATGAAATCCTTCTCCTTGGTGCATTTGTTGGTATGAAAAAAATGAAATGCAGGTGAGTGAAAGGTCTGTGTTGCTAAATTTCCAAGCTATTTGTAGCCCATTTGCTGAGCAATTACAGTTTTTTAAGCATTTGGAACTAGGAACAGAAAGCCAGCTTCAATAGCTACAATTGTAATCCAATGTGGCTGCCAATGATCATGGTGTAAGCAGCGATTTGTAGTCTGCTGCCGCAGCCACTCTGTATCCAGCAGCACATCGCCAGAGAAAACAAGCAAGGAGATTTGTAGCTGCTACAAAGTTGCTGGTATGACATGGGCCCTTATGGTCACCAGA